CGAGGCGGCAACAGCAGCGCACTGTAGGCAATCAGAGAAGTTGGGACGTGCTCACCGAAGCGGTATAATCCCACCGGCCCTCTGGGCGTAGGTGGTCTAACGAGTTCTCTCTTCCTTGAGGGATGAAAAAAAAACGACCCTACCCTTGGATACAAGTGCGTGGTCTGTAAACCTCCTGGGAACCCCCAAAGCCTAGAGCCGCCAGGACGCGGCACATCACGCAGGGTTTATCCTGTCAGCCCGCAGGAGTTTCAGCGCACAGCGCCTCGTAAACCAGGGTAGGGGCGGTTTTTATGTCTTTGATTTCCCTCTTCCACAACTCCCTCCTTCCCCATTCGGGGAGGGGCTCACGCCTCCCCCATACCGCCTCCCAGTGCCTGGATGGAAGGGAGACGGAGGTGCCACGGGTCCTTCTTCGCCCAAGACAGCTCCATGAGTGTCCCCAACGCTCCAGGATGGCTTCCACTATGGCGCAAGATAGCCGAAGATGGTTCCAGATAACTTCCGACGTACCTCCAAGAGGCTCAAGATAGCCGAAGATGGCTCAAGATAGCTTCCGACGTAGCGCCAAGAGGTTCAAGATAGCCGAAGATGGATCAAGATAGCTTCCGACGTACCGCCAACGTACCTGTGAGCGACATGGACTTGTCTGGTTTCCCTAAGCTTGCACGTGCACGCTGCTTCGTACCTGATGTGTCGAGGTTACTTGTACCCAGGGACGCGGCACACTTATTGATTATGTTATAGCATCGAGCGACTTGGCCGATTTCGTACATGTCAGTACCTATACTCAGAGCCCATTCAAAACGCATGTCTGCCTTAAAGTATGTATTCAACACGAGGCTCTTGAACAATATATGTGGCAACGTGGTAAGCCTGTACCTTTTCCTAACTGTCCTGGGCCTGACTTACCCTGGTCACAGCATCTCCTAGCGGCTGCTGCTCAACTAGGGCGTGAAGGGGTGCTGCCTGATGTCCCTGGGTATCTTTACAATGCATTGGTGCCGCATGCTCAGGACAATTTAAACGATAAGCTTACCACTCTGTACCGCACTTGGTCTAGAGCGACCGAAGCCATGTTTGAGTCTCGCGCGGTTGCAGTTGACCACAGTGTGAGCCGGGTAAAACGAGGTGAATTTCCTGTTTTTCGATGCTCTACGATTGGACGGAGGGGCCCTGCTGGCCAGAGTTTTCGTGAACCTGAACTTGCTTTTTGGGCCCAGCTGTCGCAAAAGATGTTCGAGTATCGACTTTACCTGGCACGAAAGTCTGAGCAGATGGTCGCGAGCTTAGGTAGCGCCCTTCAAGGTTTAGCTTAGCAGGTGGACAAATACATCTGTGCCGACGATGCGTACGGCATTGGCTGGTGGCGCGCCCAGTTTGTTTCTCTTCCCACTGAGGTCGAAGGCCTCGACACCTTGACAGGCGCCATTTCTACCCGCGTGCGTGCTGCCTGGAAAGCCGCAAGGAGCTTGTCCAGAGCTCGAATGAAAGACTGGCTCCTGAAAGCCCTTCCCAAAGGTGCTAAAAAGGTGCACGCTTGGTTGAAACATGACCTTGGGGATGCGCCCCAAGTCTTGTTGGCCCCTCAAGGGGCCCGTCAGCTTCCTGGGGGTATCCTGGATCATCGGCAGGCTTTCTGGAGCCAAGTTTGGAAGTCCCCAGATAATATGGCTTTGCTCTCTGGAGTGCTTGACGCGCTCAGGCCTCGCGCCCTCATGCCCCTTGATATGTTGGACCCCTTGGAACCCATTGATGTTTTGAGGGCGGCGAGGTGTTTTTCCCATTCGACTGCTGTCGGGGTCGATTCTTGGGCTCCTAGGGCTTTGGTCGATTTACCTCGGGACGCTGTTTTGGGGTACACGCATCTCCTCAATCCGCGTGAAGCTTCTTTGTCCTGGCCGTCTCAGATTTATCTTAGTGTTATTGCCTTACGCCCCAGGAATACAGAGTGTGATCGCCCTATTTGTAAATGACCTACCCTTTACAGGGTCTACTGTAAGGCTCGTAATTCTGACCTGGATAGATGGGCTTCAGACAGGTGCAATTATTGGGGCACCGCTGTGAGAGGGTCCAGTGCACTCCAGGCCGTTTTACTTCGTGAACTTGGTCACGAGATTGCTCGTATCCTTGGACTCTGCTCGGTCGGAACCCATTGGGACCTCAAGAGATTTTTCGACTCGGCCCAGCCGCACAGGCTGATTGAGTTGGCTGTGAAGAAGGACTACCCGCTCCACCTCCTCTATCTTGGTGCTCTAATACATGAGCCCCCCCGAGTGCTAGAGGTTGGTGGTTTTGTGTCGGATAGTATTCCCCCTGGGCGGGGTATCCTGGCGGGGTGTATGCAATCGACGTCTTGGGTTAAGATTTATGTGTATGATATCCTGGACCTGGCTCATGTCCAACACCGTCCTGTCCAGGTTAAATCTTACGTTGACGACATCACCCAATCCCAGGTTGGACATATGAAGGATGCACTGAACTCTTTAGTGCCTGCCGCCATGCTGTTGACCCACCAGCTTGAAGAAGTTGGGCGCACTATCTCTGCCAAGTCTGCTCTTGTGCGCAGCCATGCCGACCTTGGACGTGAGTTGGCCGCCCGTTTCAGGGCGACAGGGTTGCATATCCAGTTACAGGCGGCAACTCGGGATCTGGGGGGTCATGACCACGGCAGGGAAAAAGAGATCTACTGTGAAATTAATGCAACGACGTAGCCAGGCCTCCAAGAAGGCCAAGAAGGTTGCGTTCCTCGCCCGTATTGTCGGCTCCGCGAGGCGTTTGCACAAACCTGGGGCCCTCGCTGTCGGTTCGTGGTCCCACCAGGTGTCGGGGCTCACTCCTGGGCAAATCCAGTCTATGAGAGCCCAAGCGGCCATGTGTAGTGGTAGATGGAACCCTGGGGCCTGCACTACCACCGTCCTGGGGCTCATCAGTCCTGCCAAGGATGACCCCAAGTTTAGGCTTCGCTATGAGCAGCTGGTGAGTTTCTATGATGTTTGGCAAGACCTTGGGCACACTAAAAGAATGGAGGTTTCTCGGTGTTGGGACATTATTGTTGAGAAGTTTAGTAAAACCAAACATCGGTGGCAATGTGTTCGTGGCCCTTTAGCTGCTACTGTCGCGGTGCTCCTCGACCTCAATGTGTTGCCGCACAGCCCAGTGCATTGGATTTTTCCGAATGGAGTGCACATTCGTTCCAGCGACCAGGCTTCCCCCCACACCCTCTGGAGCACGCTCATGGAGGTGTGCGGGGACATGTCGTGGAGCGGGGCTGCTAAACACTATAAAGGAGCTGGTTTAGGAGGAGGAGTGGATTTCACGGCCCCTCGGGTGTTTTTGAGGAAGCTTGAAAAAGAAGGCTCTTTTAAAGCCGCTGGTATGATTCGTAATGTCATGACTGCTGGTTGTTGGACTGAGGACCGTCTTGCTAAGGCCGGCTACGAGTCTTCCACGAATGGCAAGTGCCCTAGGTGCGGCCTCGAGGCCGAAACTGCTGCCCATCGCTTTTGGTCCTGCAGATGTAATGATGATATCCCCGACAGCGCGATCGACCGATCGAATGACTTTAAAGCTGAAGCTTCGAATTCTCCCGAATCCTCCTGTTTTTGGATGCGTGGGCTCCCGCCCTTATCCGCCAGTGTTGGCCACCTCCCTGAGCCCATGGAGCTTTCCTGGGACTGGGGAACGTTGAGTGCGGGTGCCCGTGTGAATGGGGGTGTTTGGGGAATCGATGGCAGTGGGGGTAAGTATCATAAAGATTGGCGACTAAGGCGATGTAAATGGGCTATCGTCCACCAAGGTCCCGCAGGCCTCTTTGACGGCGTAGCCAGTGGAACACTGCCGACTAAGGTGCAGTCTGCTGGTCGTGCCGAATTGTATGCGCTTGTACAGCTGGTGATGCGCTCGACAGGCAACGTCAGAGTTTATTCAGATAATATGGCCGTTGTGAAAGGTGTTCGTCGTCCCCTACGTGTGAAAGCTAAATCTGCTATGCTTGATCTCTGGAAGATATACCACGAGGTTCTGGGGGCTCGGGGCGGCACGGTTGATGTTCGTTGGACCAAAGGTCACCCCACCCAGGCTCAGGCGTTTCACATGGTTTTGAGTGACACTGAGCTTTACCTCAATGAAGCTGCTGATTTTGTCGCGGGAAAAGGCTGCAGATGCTGGCCAGGTGACAGAAGACGCGGCCCGTAGGACCTTTCTGGCTGATGAGCGGGCTTTCAAGGTTTTGGGCCGCCTTCTTTCTGTCCGAAGACAGGTTCTGTTTAACTCTGATCGTGAGAAAGTGCGGCGAGTCGGACGTACCAATTCATCTGTGCGATCAGTTGATGAGCGCTTATGCAGACTCCGTGACTCGGGTCATGACTGTGTGGTGCGCTCAACTTCCTTTAAGTGTCGTGTGTGTGCCCGCTCGTTCGGACGTCGAGGCCCTCTCTGTGAATTCTGGCCTTGCATATGTAAACCCCGTGCAGAGATAAATCAGCGAATTCAGGCCCTCCCTGCTAGGAGTGCACCTGCCCCTCCTTGTAGGGGGCCCTCACCTCCTCCTGATGATCTTGGGCCGTTGGAGGCGGGAGTGGGTGGGGGAATGGATCATCCTGTGGCCGAGCTATGCCATGCCTCGCATCAGCTCGCCACCCTTCGAAGAGTTTTGTTGTCAGGTCTGCGGGTGCCATTGTGTTGAGAACCCGCGGAACCTCAGGTTGGAGTGTTGGCCTCCCACCAGGGCTGGCCACGAAGTGCTCAGCCGTCTGAAGAAGGGACTGCCGCCTAAGTCTGGAGGCAGGTTCCCTGATTTGTGATCTGGCCCAGCGTGCCCCACCTAGCTGCAGGTCACCACGCATAGAGGTAGAATAGAATAGAATAGAATAGAATTCAAGATAGCCGAAGATGGTTCAAGATAGCTTCCGACGTACCTCCGAGAGGTTCAAGATAGCCGAAGATGGCTCAAGATAGCCGAAGATGGTACAAGATAGCTTCATGATGGCCACAAGACGTCTCCAATTTCTCCCCGAGCCACCCAAGGATCCCCTCCAAGAGCCCCAAATCCTTCAAACACCTGCCGATTCCCGTCCGATGGGTTTCTGAGACCTCGAGAAGGCCCCAAGATGGCCCAAGAGAGCCCCAAGATGGGCCCAAAAGGCCCCCCAGGCGGCCTCAGGAGCGCTCAAGAACGCCCCAAGAATGCCCCAAGAGGGCCCCAAGAGACGGTTCTGAGAGCGCTTGCAGGGGGGGGGGGGGGGCCAAGGGGCCCCAAGAGGGCCCCGAGAGAGTCCCAAGAGGACCTCAAGAGAGCCTCAAGAAGATCAGCTCTCATCGGCAGCGTTTCTGAATGGGCTAGTGGGGATACGTGAAGCGTGAGGAAGTCATCCTCTCATCCCCTATAGGTTCTGCGCGAGGATTCAGGCTGACGGCGCAACGACAATACGAAAAACAGGAAATTGGGAGGAGGTAGGGACGGCGGGGAGGGCAGGGAGGGAGGGAAGTGGGGCAGAATCGTGGGAGGGAAACAAATAAGAATCCCAAAATTCAAGGCTGGAGTACTGCTTGCCCACTGGAGGTTCACAAAGCGTAAAGGATACTTGCATGCCTCACACAGCTGTCGCTGTCGCCAAGCCTTGAGCCAAAAAGGCGACATGAGGCCAGCCAGTGCCCGCCCCGTCACCGAGGCCAAAGTTCACCCACCCGTAATGATTCAAAATGCACAAACTGTTCGTTCGGCTTGGATCGGTGTCCGACGGCCACATGGCCCGAAACGGACCCCCGGAGGCCGAAATCCCATACAAAAGCTACAACGCATTTTGTTGTCGAACCTAAAATCTTGACCCGTGGACCTCGACACTCTAACCCCCAAGGCCTCGTTCGCTTTCCGTCGTCGTCACTCGTCGTCCGTCGCTGGAAAGCCAGGTCTGGTGTCGCCCGACATGTTCCTCGAACACAGGCCCTCGGCCTCAGGAGCGGTGTACGGGGGAGGAGGGGCATGCATGAGGTGGAGGAAGGCGAGGATGAGTCCCTGCAAGCTTTCTGGTGCCCTGCGCGAGACCCCGCCTTCGAGAGACGAGCGTCCCATGGGCCCGCTGGTCAAGCAGGATCTCTACCTTGAGGGAGCCAGCCTTCGTCACTCAAACTGCACGTAATGCTACGAGTTTAAAGGAATGTCCAGCAAGAGCCCAACTTTGAAAAAGAGTTGTTCTGCATCTGTGTGTAACCTATTGCACGACGATTGCTTCTGGCAACAAATCAAGCGAACTCTCAGGCGGAAACCCATGCTTGAAAAAGGACCACCCTCCAGATGTGCAACTGTTGCACACCTTACACGCGTGGTGCCATGCTTTAGGAAACCTCAGGCGAGAACCCCATTTCGAAAACGTGCCGCCATGCATCTTCGAAACTGTTGGAAGAGCACAGGACAAATGTGTGTGGCGCTATGGCGAGAGGCGCAAGCTGAAAACAGCTTGCCCTCCATCCCAGCAACCTTTTAGTTGGAAAATCTAATGTGCACGGCGCTGGAGCAAGAGCCACATGTTGAAAACCACCGCCACTCCGTCTGTCATGCTGAAAAATCGACGCAACAGGACAATACGTTGCAAAAGCATTCAAGCAAACCGCCCGACCTGGTCCACTGACAAGGACAGTGGTGCGACAGGGACGGGTGATTCACAAAGAAGAAGGACGGAAGAGAAGGAGGAGGGAGGGGGAAGTGGAGGTAGAGTGTTGGGAATGGCAGTTCGCCGTCCACGATGAGAATGGCAACAAACTCTCAATGGAGAAGGAGGAGGAGGAGGAGGACGAGGAGGGGGAGGAGGAGAACGAGGAGGATGAGGATGGAGAAGGGAACCAGAGGTTCAGAAGCCATACAGGCAGCCATACAGGGGTAACCGAGTTACGACCACGCCAATTCGGGGCAGAACGAGAGCCCGGCGGGGCGAGCAGACTCAAGACCAGAAACCGAGGGGGGAGGGGAGGGGGGGGGCAGAGGAGGCGGTGGAGGAGGAGGAGGAGGAGGAGGAGGCGGAGGCGGAGGAGGAGGAGGAGGAAGAGGAGGACAAGCTGGAAGGGGATGAGGTGGGGAGCGGGAGCACCCGAGGACGACGCCAACGACGACGACGGCGAGGAGGAAGGAGGGGCAGAGCAGGAGGGGGGGGGGACGACGACGACGAGGAGGAGGACGACGAAGAAGAGAGCCCCCCCCTGGGCCGGCGGCGGGAGCCCTCCCGCGAGCCCAGCCGCGCGCGCCCGAGGCCCAGGGCCGCAGCCGAGTGCAGCGAGAGCGTGAGCACCTGGGGGCGGCTATCACTCCCTCCGTCTCTCCCTCATCCTCATCTGCCTTTCGACTCATCCTAGATCCGCCCTCCTCCTCTTCCTCCTCATCTTCCTCCTCCCACTCATCCTCCTGCCTCCCCTCCACCTCCCCCTCCTCCTGATCCTCCTTCTCCTCCTCCTCATCCTCCTCCTCCTGATCCTTATCATCATCATCATCATCATCATCATCATCAT